TTTTTTTTTTTTTTTTTTGGGAAGCTTGAAAAATTATTATAACAAACAATGGGACGAGGCCGGGGTCCTCACAATTCAACCCGGAGTTATCCTGGCAGCAACAGCCAGTTTAGCTTACGAGCAGAGCTCGATTCCAACTCACTGATATGACCTTGTCTTGAGCCAGCTGGAAACCGGGTCCAGTGTCCCATGCTAGCAAACAACTTTCCAAAATAACACTTTGAAGCGCAAAAAAAAACAGGGCTCTCCAAGCTGAAGCTCATAGAGCATAATATAAGAAGGTAAGAAACTCCTTTCTCCCTTCCGTTCTTTCAGGGCTTAATTTCATAATCATGAAAGGAAAATGCTGGTCCCTGGTCTTACTTTACACTGATTCAGATAGCTCCGTTCTATTGGTTACCCTGAGGCATTGAGAAGACAAGCACATCATACTGACTTCCACTCTACTCAGCCATCCTGGACAAACCTCCTACGCCAGTCCTATATTGGGCCCCACTGCGAGCTGTCTCTTTACAGAGGTTTCCACCAGGAATTAACTACAGTTTTACTTCTGTTGAAACATGTGCAAACTTTTCCTCTCTGGCCCAGGTTCTGGCAAACCAGGATCTACCTTTACCCTGACGGTTCAAACATCGTTACCAGTCCGCCAAAATTAGCAGGCGAATACTGTCCTTAATGTGGTGTACCTGCTGTTTATGCTGATTATTTCGTTCTTGAATACTACAGAGTTTCTAGCTTTGCAGATTACCTGCATGATAGCACCTTTGCAGGCCAGAACTACATAACCGCAGCCCTCAGAAAGCGTAGAGCTTGAGGTAGGGAGTGAGCAGTATAGCACCCAGTCGTCAGTCCACGGGAAGGTATCTTGTGTTAGTTCTGACCATAGTGTTGACCACCATTGCCAAACTGCGTCTGCCAATGGGCACTGAACCCAGAGATGTGCATTTGATTCCCACCCCCACAGACATCTGCTGCACGTGAGCGGCAAATCCATGCCCCGTGAGGCCAACCAATCCGTCGTGGGAACAACTTGCAACGCCTGTGCCCATAGGAGACTCAAATCCTGTTGAGAGGGGAGCTTTTTCCAGATACGCCAAGTTAGGCTCCCTGGCCAATGAGCCTTTGAGTTTCGCATATCTGCTGCTAGCTATTCTCGAGGGTGTGTTCTCAGTCTTTGCCCTTAGCGCTTTGACTCCCACTTTTGGGGAATAGTTACATAAGGGGACCGTCTCTCCCCTCCCTTGCCTCCACCCCAGCAGTGCAGGTTCTGTCCGAAACTCCTCTGCATTTCCTTGCAGAATGTTTTGCTTATGCTGAGAGAGAACTCTGACCTCTTGTAGGCCCTGTGTCGTCATTGTTGTCCTTTGTTGTTGTTGGATGCCCTGGGGCCCACCTTCCATTCCTCCACCTTCCGGCCTCCCCCCAAGTCTGGACCAATTATTCTCCATATCCCTGTGTGCTCCTCCTCTGCTCTCACCCAGGTTCCCTCCGTGTGTTTCGCTGCACTATTCAATGCCGCCTTCCAATGCCTCACTGCCTGTCTCTTATACACATCTAGATGTGTATAAGAGACAGCTTGTAGGCCCTGTGTCGTCATTGTTGTCCTTTGTTGTTGTTGGATGCCCTGGGGCCCACCTTCCATTCCTCCACCTTCCGGCCTCCCCCCAAGTCTGGACCAATTATTCTCCATATCCCTGTGTGCTCCTCCTCTGCTCTCACCCAGGTTCCCTCCGTGTGTTTCGCTGCACTATTCAATGCCGCCTTCCAATGCCTCACTGCAGATCGCTTTTTTTTTGAAAGCCGAAACTTTGCGAAACCTTGCCTAGAGCACTCCTCCGTAATGCCTCACTGATAGCAGATCGACAGATATTCAAAAAAAAAAAAGGRGGGGGGGGGGGCGATCCTCTTCTTTCTTTTATTTTTAATTCTGTTGATTAGGACCGGGAATGGAAAGTGCAGTTTGGGTTTCCTTCCTGCGTTTCCCTCCCACCCCGCCCTTTGTCTGCATTCCGGTTTGGTAAGTGCCACGTCAGCAGTGCCACACAAGTAGCAGTGCCACGACAACAGCAGTACCAACGTCGGCAGTGCCCCACCACCATGACGGGTTCAGTTTTGGGCATGCCAGGCCAGCTGGCCGATGAGTCCACTGCCGAGTACCAACAACAGTTCCAAGCTCAGCTCGCACTGATCGAGGCTGAGGAACAGCGCCAGGCGGCAGCCGAGGTTGCCCGCCTACAGGCTGAAGCGGAGGCAGCAGCTGAAAAGCAGCGGCTTCAGGCCGCAGCTGATGCAGATGCCCAGGCCCGCCGCAAGGAGGCCCAGGATCTGCTGCAGCGGCACAAAGCCGCCAGCATCGACAGGCTCAAGTTCTGTTTTTTTTTTAACCATCTGAAGGCCACAGCGACACGGCACCGGAAGAGAAGCACAAGGAGTTCCTCTCCAAACTCGTGCCCCGGTTGGTTTACACTTGTAACCACCTGCAGTCTGAGTTGGCAAATCTTCACCGGGCAGTGCGGGACCACAAGGATCTGCACGAGGATGCTACACAGGCACTTCATTCCCTTATACAAAAGTTGGAGCAAGCAGCACCAGGACGAGATGTTGGCGAATGCAGCCTCAACCCGACAGTTGGAGCAAAGAGTTGACCATGTAGTCGCAATGCTCGGAGACATCAGCACCTTCGCCGCACCAGCCACCATCAGCGAGCAGCTCGACACCTTGAAGACCGAAGTTCGGCAACTGCACTAGCCGCCCAACAACGACGGCAACACCAGTGCGTAGCAGTACAAGATGCCGACATTCCAGATCGAAAAGTTTGATGACTATACGCATCAAGACCCGGTCCCCTAGTGGCAGGGCTTTACGACGGAACTTCGGATTCGTCACGTCCCCGAGCACTCGTACATCGCGGCGCTGTTCCTCAACTCAAAGGGCGGATGCCAGATCTGGCTCAGCCACCTGGCAACCATCCACGACATCCAGGTCATCGATCTGCACAAGAAG